TTTGTAATAATAAACAAAATATGTTAACTTAAAAACCCCTAATGTAAGCAATACAATTATAATTAAAAACAAACTAATTCAGAAATTGAAATTGAATAAAAGATGAAAAAATGAAAAACAAAACCTGAGATTTCAAGTGGACGGTGACGGAAGATGGGTAGACGACCGGCGGTTGATGGTGGCGGACGGAGAAGATGATCGGACAGCGACCGGCGGATGATGGTGGCGGAAGGCGTCGCGGAGGAGACGAAACTACACAACAACTCTTTGTGGTTTCTGTCTGCGAAATAGGAGAAACTGAGAGGAGTTCCCGTTTTTAAATCTGTTTTTGGCGACGGATTTAGCGACGGAATTTTTCCGTCGCCAGCTCAAAACGCAGCGTTTCAATTATATTCTTTTACCGACGGAATTTTTCCGTCACCAAACTAACGACGGAATTTTTCCGTCGTTATTTCCGTCGTCTAATATGCCGCGCACTACCTCCCGCCAATACGGAGCGACGGAATGCTGATTCCGTCGTAAAGTTTGGTAGGTGTAAAATTCCGTCGCTGAATTCGTCGTCGTTAGCGTCGAATTGCATTCCGTCGCTATAATCCGTCATTTTTTTCGCGTTTTCTTGTAGTGAAGACTAATCCTAATACGATGTGGATCTACTCTTTTGGAAAAGAACACCCAATCGGTGACCAATCTATTTTTCCATCCAACTTAAACGATCAAATGAGACTACCGGTTTTAGCAGACTGATCTCATGGACTTTGATCCTAATACTTTCTTCTCCAATTCGACATATTTCAGTCTATTTTTTCAGTCTTCGTCTTTTTCCTCTTCAAATTGCGAGTAGATGTACTACCTTCATATTAGTGCATTTGTCCAATTTAACTTTTTTGAGTTAAATTGGACGAACTATGAGTTTTAATTATTCTCAATTTTTATTGCATATTACTCCCTCCGTCCGGAAATATTCTTCTCACTTTCCTTTTTGGCTCGTTCGGAAATATTCTTATCATTTCCTTTTTTAGTATACTTTTTAAAGATAAATTTCAATAAGAAAAGGAGATTTAAAAGTTTATAGTATGTGCATTTTTGGAAATTTTGCATTTTTTTACTATTTCTTAATAAGCGTGTCAAGTCAACACGGGAAGAATATTCCCAGACGGATGGAGTAGTATAATAAATACTGTAAAAAAATTTCAAAGTTCACAATATTATAAGTCTAATAAAAATATTCTTATACTAGTATATATTATATTTTTTATTTAATTGAATTTTAGAGTTCATTTTATTTGATTCGAAATATTCAAACTGGACAAATATATTGAGAGGGTGGGAGTAATTTTTCTTTTTTTTTTCTTCAAATTACACCTAGTTTGAGAGGAAGAGAATATATAGTGTGGAAGAGAGTATATAGTGTGGGGCTTGTCTTCTCTTGGTTAAGATGCTTTCCCCATTGGGCATTCCCTTTTCCGGCTTTCGTCTACAACAACCAGATAACTTTGATTAATTCCTCTGCTGAAAAAAATGGGTTCTACCTTTAGGCATTTCCTCTGTTTTTCCATAGTAATTTTAACCACTTGTTTTGATGCCAGTGTTCATGGAGAAATTGATCATCGCCATAAGCACCATGCCAGCCGTATAAAGAGCAAAACGCTAGCGCCTCTATCGCCAGAAACTGTAATTAACTCATCTTTCTTCTTCTTCTTCTTCTTCTCTAATTTATAATGTTTCTGGTGGGAGTTTGATTTGGGTGAAGACTGATGATGGTTGCCGGCGGCCGTCGTCTTCGGCGGCGTGCAGGTTATTGCAGCCAGCCCGCGGGTGTACCACGTGGCCTCATACGGCGGTGCGGACCCCACCGGCGTTAATGACAGCACGGATGCTATTAGGAGAGCAATCGGAGAAGCGCTTCAAGCTCGGAGGGGAGAGTTCTTGTACACCGGAATTCAAAATCTCGGCGGCGTCAGGGTGGATCTTGACGGTGGGGTTTATGCCGTCTCACAGCCTCTGCAGCTCCCGCCGGGGACCGGAAATTTTGTGGTAAGGCAACCCCTCTGAAACTGATACTCTTTCCGTTTTATTGTCCACTCGTGAGTCGTGATTTGCAGTAATGGTAGGACTAAAGTACTCAACACCCGATCTTGGGCCCAAACACTTGGCCTATGTGCAAAAACCCGCCTAGAAAAAAGTGTGTACGGGATACGACTTTGGAGGATCTTACATGTATCCTAAAATTCCTAACATTTTGAGGATCTTACATACATCAAATATACCAATATTTTGATGGTTCACACGAACATAAAATATTGGTGCATCAACAAAAATTTATACTAACGTAAAGTGTTGGTGCGTTTACAAAAATTAGCATTAAAATGTTGGTGCATCCCCGCGGGGTACAAAATGGAATACAAATTCTTAGAATACAAATAGCTTTATCTTAGGATTTTTTTTTTAAGTCAATAGCCACAGTCGGGGACCAATAACACAAAGATCGGGCTTAGATTATACATCCACGTTTTTGGGCTGGGCAGGACCAATAATAATATCAATAAGTAGAGTGAAATTCTTGACATTGGCCAATTGTGCTACTCTGATGTCATTGCATTTGGAATACATTTAGTGCTTCATTTACAGAATTGATGATTCTCATCCTCTTACCCACTCCTAAACCCCCAACCCAGCCAACCTCTAAGCCCTTTAACTCAAACTGGACAAATACTCATAGATAAGACTATTACATATTGGGATATTGCTAGGGGTACACCAAAGGTGTACTCCAAATGTACACCACTTACTTCTACACCATTATATTATTTTCTTTTTATTTTATACTTTTTTTGAAATCTTCTTGCCTTTTTTTGAAATCTTCTTGCCTCGGGTGGGGGATGTTTGGGGTTTACTAAAGTGTACCCCTAGCATTTTCCTTATATATTCGTTGTTTCTTTGAAAGCTATCAAACATGTACCCCGTGTAGTATCTTACGGTATTACTTATTCTAAAAAAAATTAAATAAGTAAAAATTAATACACATATGGGCCGCACCAACTTGAAATCTGCAGGGATCTATGCGGGTCAGGCTCGAGCTTTAATACTAGCTCCGTCCCAGAGTATTTGTCCACTTTCATTTTTACACACCATCCAATGCACTTCTTTAATCAATTTTATCTTGTAATTTGTATATTAAAAAAATTATAGAAATTATATATTAATAATCTATATGTTAAGACAAATCAAACAAGATCACACATGACTATATTTAGGCTTACACATTGAGAGAATTTGATGAGTCAAAGTGCTTAGATGAACAGTTTCAAAAGTCAGAACTGGACAAATACTCCGAGACGGAGGGAGTATTAGATTATTAGGCTTTGAATTTTCTAATTTCAATTTATTTTTGACACTACTAATTCCAAAATCACATGTTTTTATATTACCAAATAAAAGAATTAGAATTGAAATCTCTCATTATAATTCCAATAACATACCAATGTAGCATCGAAATATGGGAAATATTTAATTCACAAACACAATGGTTACAAACATCACAAACTTACTATTTGTAAACTTCAATGAAAAAAATTAAATGGTCTAAAGTGATTTTAAAATAAAATTTTAAACCATAAATAGTAAGTTTGCGAAGTTTGTGATTATTGTGTTTATGAACTTAGGATTCCCTTGAAATATTTACCTCATGTGAAAGTTTGTGCGTTTAAGGATTTTAGTTAAATCTGAAAAAATATGGAATAATTCCTTTTTTTTGGGTGGATTAGATTCATGGAGGAACACTAAAGGCGTCGGATGATTTCCCGACAGGCGAGAGCTATCTGATCGACTTAAGCGCTGGCAATGGAAGCTTAGAGTACAATTTCGAGTTCGTCACTTTCAGGGACCTATTTCTGAATTCCAACCTCCGGGGAGGGGGAATTCGTGTGGTCAACTCCCTGAGGATCTCCGTTGACAATTGCTACATTACAGGTTTCACCTCGGAGGGGATTTCCGTCGCCGGCGGTCACGAAACCTACATCAGGAATTCATTCCTCGGTCAACACATCACCGCCGGCCACGACCCCGGTGAATCGCACTTCGGTGGGACGGCGATCAGTCTGAGCGGCAACGACAACGCCGTGACGGACGTCGTGATTTTCTCGGCCGCAATCGGAATCCTGATTTCCGGCCAAGCCAACATATTGACCGGTGTTCATTGTTACAATAAGGCCACCGGATTCGGCGGCACGGGGGTTTACCTAAAAACCCCTGGGTTGACGCAGACGAGGATTGTGAATTCCTACTTCGATTACACCGGTATTGTGGCCGAGGACCCCGTCCAGCTTCAAATCTCCAACTGCTTCTTTCTCGGAGATGCATTCATTCTATTCAAGTCAGTCAATGGTGTCATCAATGGTGTCAACGTGGCCGACAACATGTTCAGCGGAAGCTCACAAGGCGACATTGTTCGATTGGACGAGAGCAAGGGGTCATTCAAGCACATTGATCAAGTAACCATTGATAGGAACAACGCCCGGGGAATGAACATCAAATCCACAATTGCTAGGGCTAAATCGAATAATGTTACTTCAAGCACATCGTGGAAAGTAGATCTCAATCACATTCTTCTCTTCCCTAACAGGACCACGTACGTGGAATACACGTTCGTTCCCTCCGGAGACTTCTTCCCTAAGCACGCATTGAAAAGCGTTTCAAACAATCTTGTTGTGGTTGAGTCGGATGTGGAAGTTGTGGCGACCGTTTTCGTCATGGCTCAGCAAGGAAACTCACATTAAAGATGAGAACAATGCCAAGTTGTGCTTAGTAAAGGTATGCTCATGCTCTCATTTTGTTTTCTTCTTTCTCAAGGAAATCATTCCAATATGAAAGCATGTTGGTTTTAGGTCTTGGTTGAGTATGAGATACACATGCCAAGTGTTGCTCAGTGATAAATGATGTCAATGTTGTTCATTGGTTGATTGTATATGTGTAAGTTACTAGCACTTGTCTGTATTTTTTGTTTGCTATTGTCCTAATTTTAGGTTCATTGATGACTTGGCTATGTGATCTTGTGGATGTATTTTGTCAACAGAATGTAATAATTAATTACCAAAGTGTTTGTTGGAATGTCTTAATGGTAAATGATGTCAGCGTTTGTCATTGGTTAAATGTGCATTTGTAGATTAGAACTATGTCTTTGTATTTTGGGTTTGATATTGGCAGAATTTTAGGTTCAGTGATTCTCCAAAAGGTAAAATCGCTCACTCCGGGCGCCCCTCACCCCCGACCCGACGGAAATGTGAGAGGAGGTAAATCACGGTGGCTCAAGCACAACACTTAGCTAGACCATATCCTAGTGCGCACCAGAGACTCCCCCCATTTTTCAGAGGTGGTCGCCTCCACAACGGTCGTTCTCCAAACATCACCAAGTGTTTGCCACTTGAGCTACCCGTGCGGGTAGGTTCAGTGATGAATTCATTATGTGGTCTTGTGGAAGTGATATTATGTAAAGAGAATCTAATCTAAGGTGTACTCTTATAGGCTAGCATTCTTGCACCCTACGGTGTTCTCTCTGTCAATTTTTTCAGCTTTAGAGACGTCGGCTTGTCAATGGATCGGGTTCGGGCCGGTCCATAGAGTTCCATGCGCGTACCCTTTACAAAAATATTGATCCTAATCCGTACCGGTTTATCTAATGAATCTTGAAGTTTTATACTAGATTTGGATCCATTGAGTCTGAGTATCAGGTCGGGTATACACGTGATAAAAATTGACATCTTTTATGTTTTTTTTAATTGATAAAAAATGAGAGAAATTAATACCCTGAATCTTCATATATACAATGGTAGGAGGCCAAAATAAACAGTATTCCCGCCAAAAGTTATTGGGCCGGATATAAGCTATTTGGGCTGGGTTATTTTTGGGCCTGAATTCTGATCTTGGACTGGGAAAGGGTGGCGCCAGATTGTTTTTTAATATGCTAGCTGTTAGCTAGAGGAGTATTGCATAAGGCTTTGTTTGGGGACAACGTTTTCGATTAGCGTTACCTTCTTGGATAAAATTTTAATGGTGTAGATTAATTCCGAAAACGCTAACTCTAAAGGCTACCGTCGGATAGACTTTTCAAAACGCTAACGCTAATAGCTAACGTTGATGCCAAACAGGGTCTAAGGCGGCAAAAGTAATGATGAAAAAAACTTTGGGGATTGTGTGCACTCTATTTACACGGCACACACCACTTTTTAGGAGCCCAAATTACTGCAGTCCATTTAATGCTTTGGATTTGATAAAATCTTAGTGTACATAGATATTAAATGCAAAAGATTCTCCCACCACTTCTAAAACATTTAATCGAACAAAGATTTGCAATAAAATTTTGATTCACATTAAGCAAATCTTTAGTTTAAGATTCACTTTAAATTATTGAATTTTTAAATTATTGAATCTTACTAAAAAAGTGAATCTTAAAAAAATTTTGATTACATAAAACTAGTTTAAGATTCACAAAGATTTGCAATAAAAAGTTAATCTTAAAAAATTCATTAAATTTGATTTGCAAATTTTTTGAGATCCGTGCCTTGCATCGAGCCGTGTAAAAAGTGAAAGGGGGAGGTGGCAGCAGCAACATCAAATCAGGGTACAACCCACACATTAAATTTAATACATTAATTACAAAGCTCACAATATAAATAGACTTAAATTTAACATTATCAATGTCCACTCTCCAGGTCATACTTCTTCAACTTCAAGGTTTGCAACTTCATCTTCTCTGCATTATTAATTGTTCTTCCTCTTAGAAAGATTCTTTTTTTCTTGTTTTGCTATGTGATTGCAGATTACACATGGATCCACAAATTCAAACCAACTCGATCATGTTTAAAGACTAGGATACAAACAAAAGATACAAACAATGAAACAATACACGTACCACTTTGATGGCAGTGCACCATAAACACTCTGTCAATTCTTTTTCAATTTTGAAGAATTAAAGATAAAGAAATATTTTTTACTCAATATTGCTATTACATTAATGACTTTAATAAACTACAGTAGATTACTTGGTATTTCCAGTTTACTTTTCAAATCTCTTTTGAAGACTTTAAAAACTATGAATGGTGCATTAGAAATTAGAATTATGATACTTTTTTAAATAGATGAAGGGTGTTTCTTATGAAAAAGCCGTGTTATTTTTTAGTTTAAGATTCAAGGCTCAAATGAATCCATTACAATTAAGCTTTTTATTCTAAATGATTTTTTTATTAGTCAATTGTCTTACATAAGACAGTGTAAAAATTACCTTTGAAAAATAATGAAGAGTATTTTCCAAATAACGAGTTTTGATAAATAGTCCTTGAAATAGCTATTCATAGTGCAAGTTTAAATAAATTTATATAAATCCAGTGAATAATTTTGAGTTGAGAAGACAAACACAGTGTCTAATGTCTGGATTACCTTTATGATTGACATGAACATATGCGTCTCAGAATGAACCTACAAACCAAAAAATGACATTAGTTTCAATTAGAAATTTCATTTACAATTAAAAAAATCTTTGGAGTAAAAACGTGTGGATTCATAGCCCTTATTGTCAATAAATAGTTTCTGCTACTTTCATATTAAGTCTGTTTATATAGCATGTGCGTTTATTTTAGATTTATACAAAAAAACATATCTAGATTTGCATGTCAAATTATACCTTATTAAATGGTTAAACAAATTTGAAGATAGGTGGATGAAGTTTCTGAGGAATTTTTGTAAGAACATACTAAAATCCAGAAATTTTGATAAACTAAGAAAAAACAGATCTAAGAAAAACTCAGGAAAATTTAGAACAAGGGGATATATAAACATAAAAATACTAAACATCAAAAGAAAATCAGTATTTCGAAGTGGAAGAAATGGAACACTACGCCTACCTCCGGCAGTCGTTTCCCGGCGTGCACCTCCGACAAGTTACCGGGGCAAGAAATGGATGGTCACGAGCGATGGTGTACCGGCGCAATTAAGAGGTGGATTCGGCTGTCGTTTCTATTCTTTGATGGAGAACTCTAGAGAGAGAGAGAGATAAAGCTGAAGAGTTTAGTTGGTCGGCCAAACTGAGAGGAAAATGAGATCACGGCCGAACTGAGAGGAAAACTCTAGAGAACCAGAGAAAAATGGAAAACTCTAGAGAGAGATAAAGCTAGAGAATTTGGGATGTGAGAAGATTACTGAGAGGAAAATGGGTTGTCACGATAGGTAGGGTAAAAAAGTGAAGCCCAAATTCAAAGAGTCCATTAATATTTTAATGGTTCATACTATCAGAAAATGTTATTTCAATCAAAAAATTTACACTAATTTTTTCATTATAAACTATTACTCTAGCATTATACTAGCACAATATATTGGTGCATGTTTTCAAAGTACAAAGTATGGTACAATTTTTGGGTACATATAGTTTATATACCCCGTATCGTGTTCTAAAAATTTACTCTCTCTATCTATTTAAATTATATTTTTCCATTTAATTATGAGGCAAAGTCTCACACATTTTCAAAATCAATTTTTTGAAAAATTGGCAAATGAATAATTAATAAAATCAATATCTACCTCGGTGTCTCAATATTTGTCCGATTTTAGCTATTTACAGTCAACTATTTAAAATCATAAAGAACTAGATAAAACGATATTTTATAAAAACATTATAAAACAAACCTAATAATATCATATCCATATTCAATTTGACTAAATCCGCCCAATTTACGATTAATTGACAATATTACCCAAAACAATTATTTGTATCTAAACTCTCTTTTGTATATGGAGAAAGGATGAAATTATAAATTTATCGTAAATGGAGTGTATTTAGTCAAAATGGTTGTATATTTAACAACATCCCACTATTTTTATATCAACATTATTTTCAATTTTATTTAAGTACTGGTCAAAACTTGTTATTTGACTGTAAAAAGTCAAAACTAAACAAATATTTATAAATAGAGGTAGTAAAAGACTACATCGAAAGTTTTACATAAAACAAATCATAAGAATATTTTATTTTATCAAATAAGGAGTAATACAAAATACACAAACAAACAAAATTTATCGAGAGGTAGGTTCTAAAAAATTACAATCAATTTTGAGATAGAGGTATTAGATTGCATTTTTCGTGTCATAATAGTCTCTTCGTTCCGTATTAATGTTTGTGAATGAGTCGAGTTTGTAATTTATAATAATAAATTATATCGTTGAAAGTTGTACAAACAAGAGAGAATGATCTAAGTCCCAACAAGTTTTCTTAATATGGAAAGTGAAATTATATTTACGATGGATAAAAAGATATTAATGAACATTATTACGACGGAGGAAGTATGAAATTTGTCAAATTAGATAAATTTTTGCAATTGCTAACTATATCAATCAACAAGCACTCGACAAAAACGAGGGGTAGGATTTAGGGATCCACCTAGGAAACACTTTAATATCATATAAAATTTTATGAAATCATTTACTTAACTGCATTCCATACTGAAAAAATATGTATACAAGATTGCAAGTTAACACTTTAAGACTCATGTATACAAGTAACCCAGGCCCATAAGCATTAAGTAACGAATAGATATCGATTTTTAATTATGATCGGGTATACGTTCCAACTTCAGAGAAACCAATAACCATGTTAAAGATTTTTAATTGTAATTAAAAAAAGACCAACATCCTATAACACTAAAAATATACTGATAATTTACAAAAAAAAAAATTCAAATAGTACTTAGACGTTATATTAGAATAATTCTCCATGGAAAATAGTATGTAAATCATTAGTTTTTTATATTTTCACAATTAACTAAAGTTATTAAACGTTTTTTGCACCTTGATTTAGAAGTTAACATAAATTAATCACACCAAAATAATTAATCCGTTATTTACAATAAAAAAATTGGCCGTGTAACGCACGGGTACAAGCTTTTAGTATCCCAAATCATGAACTAAAGTTGAAGATTGGAACACCCATGATGTTCTTGAGAAAGATTGATCAATCATCAGGTCTGTACAATGAAACAAGATTGATATAACTCGACTCGGCAATCATCTTATTCAAGGCACAGTGATAATAGGAAAAAATGTCTCAAAACAACTGTTATCCCACGATTGTCGCTTACACTGTCAGATGCAAGAATTCATTTTCAAAGGAAATAATTCTCAATCATGACTTCAGACGCAATGACAATTAACAAAAGTCAAATTCAATCTTTAGCTCATGTTGGATTGCTACTAAAGAAATTGGTATTCAGCCATGATCAACTCTATGTTGCAATTTCACATGTTGCAAGCCGCGAAGGTTAAAGACCTTGATTTGCAATAATGACCTTCCGTCATCCAACCAAATTACGAATGTAGTTTATAAAAAAGTATTCCAAAACTTAAAACACTTCATATCAACTACGGTCCTTACTGTACACTACCTTATTTTGGACAATTTTAATAAAATTTGTAATTTGTATCATTTTCTGTTATTCCAAACCAAGACTAAACATAAGTAATTCTACAAACCGTGCATCGCACGGGTACGAGTCTAGTAAATACAAGAATAAGACGAATCTATTACTAACAAGTGACAATATTCACAAGTGTGAAGAAGCTTTTACTCCTATTTTGTTTCTACTCTTATGTATTAATGTGTAGGATCTTTTTTTGAAGGGATGTGTAGGACACCACACACACACACACATATATATATAATATAGATTTTGGTTCTAGTGAAAATGCGATCTTATAAAAGAAATAAGAATGAATCTAGTACTTTAGATTGTGAGATCTAATGGTCAGGATTGCATCAAAATTAGGTGCACCAAAATGGTTTGAAAATGCATCACGTCGAAATGCACCAGAATCCTTTGAAAATTCACTATCTTAAAATCTAAGTGCATGATGCAATCTGAGCCACACGATGCCTCAAATCCAAAGGATAGATTTTAGAGGAATTTACCTAAATAGCACTAAAACATAATGACTTTCTCTAAGTAGCACTACATATGTTTTTCTTTCCAATGTAGCACTTTTAGTCATTATGCATTAGTCATTATTCAAGCAAAATTTCGCCATCACTGGACATTATGGACATTATAAGTGCTATTTAGAGAATAAAACAGTTTAAGTGCTATTTATGGAAATGACTTAAGTTTTAGTGCTATTTAGTGCAAATATTTCTAGATTTTATTCTTATTTCTTTCACCAAGGTGCATTCTCACCTGAACCGACTCCTTTATATATATATATATATATATATATATATATATATATATATATATATATATATAAAGTAGAATTGTATTAAAAGAAAAAAAAAGTAAGTACATGAGGATGGGTTGGCCGAAACCCCTACAAAGTCCAAAATTTTGGAACAACTTAAAAAATAAATAAGATCTTAAACAACAATAAAGGACAAAGATATCAAAGCTAGAGGAGATGGGCATCCTACAAGTTTTGTCCATATCTTTTGCGGGGTGGTCCAAGAGCATTTAAAAGAGCAGCTACATGTTGATGAGATGCTTACAAAGAGAGCAAACAAACTTTTGCGACTGAACTTTTGTCTCCATATTTCTATTTCTTGAAGAAATCTCCTAGGTGTTGAAGCTCAAAAATGAAGAGGTAGGGACCATATCTGGGTTGTATTCTATAGCTGCGTGACACAGTGCAGTAGGGATGAGGATATTCAAAACACATGACTACTTGAGCTTGGAAAACTACATATGGTTTCCTTGTCTTGATTATACATTAAAATTGAAAATGCCAGCCTAGATGCAGAGACTCTTCTAAGAGACCCAATTGGGTCAGGGACTTTAATCTTGACTTGAATAATTTGTGTTTGTCAAATATGAAAACCTGTAAGTTAGGACTTAACAACACAAAAGGGTTGAATTCATGCATTGCAACACCAATAATAACTAAACCAAAAATAATAATATAAATTTTCCTATTAAACCCACTTTTCTAATAATACCCTTTAGCCTATATTTTTGAAACACGTTTTATATTAATTTATCTAATACGAGTATATATTTGAAATGTGTTTGAATTATTGGTTCATTTTGTGAATTAGTATCGTGAGCTTGAGAACGATGAAAAAAGTAAACATGTTAAGTATGAGATTCTTGCAAATATCAAGGACATGCCCAATTATATCTTGACAAGACTGAGATTATGACTCAATCTAACTTCTCTCAATCTAACTCAATCTAATGTTTTTGTGAACTATTGTCATGATCAATTTGATCTCTAAGACTATCTAGAATCGGGCTTAACCACTGGCATGAAACGGCCCATCACGACGTGACTATTGCACCAATGCCAGCGTGAGGTTTGACGAAGGGGGCTGGAGAGTGGTCAAGGGCATGGCATGTCTTGAAAGTTGTTAAAGACCATTCCCAAAAGTAAAAAAAGAGACTTTAGCTCATTTTAAATTCTTCTTACATAATTTATTTATAAATGATGGGCCAGTACCCAACGGGCGGCCCAAACATCGCGCCCAAATGGCACTAGGTCACTAGAGCTGGCGGGCAGCGATTCTTGGCCGGCCGAAGAGATTGGGCCTGCAGTGAAGAGACAACTGGAAGAATCCGAATCAAGGGAGGGAACTCAACTGAAAATGGAGATATAGCCGAAGAAAGGGGATCGCGCCATTGGCGGATGAGTCTCCTTGAATTTGAACTACCATAGTTACTTAGAAATCATGTATAAATAGAGGGTTCCCGAATGAGGATTCTCAAGCTGAATCAAGCAAATAAAGCCTATAATTCTCAAGTTCTTGTTCATTATTATTTTTTTCGATCTGCCGTTCTAAGTCGGATCATTTGGTGGATTTATTGTCCATCAATAAATACTAAAAAATCCCATATAGTATCACACAACTCTCAAATCTCCTCTATTATTCAAAAAAATAAATTCTTCACTACTCTTCCTCGACTCCTCAACATGGATCCCAACCACCCAAACTACTTATACCCCAACCCTTTTTTATAATTGCTACCTTGAGATCGACCTGAATAGTTCTGATAGCACCAATTCTCTAAGAAACTTGATGCATAGCTACGCAAATTCGTTCCAACAAGGGAAATTTTGAACCACCCACACTAGATTTCAGGAATGGTTTCATTCCAGCAAAACAAAATAAACAACCATCCCAATCCCAACGCGCCACCGAACATGAGCCGGCAACTTCCAAGAGAAAACACAAAAAAGATGTGTTGCAGAAAAGAATGAAGCCATGGATGACCAAATGGACTAAGGAGAAAAAGGTTGCCCTAGCTCAGGCTTATATTAACACCTCTAAGGATCTTGAGACAAGTGCATCTTTTATTTTTTATTTTTTTACTAATTTGAATATGTAAACATATATTAATTTTTTTAACTACTTTGAATATGAAAAC